GGGCGGGGCCTGGGGACTGAGGGGCGGGGCCTGGAGAGTCCGGCGCGCTGTGGGCGGGGCCTGGAGGGTGCGGCGCGCTGTGGGCGGGGCTTGGGGGTTGAGGGGCGGGGTCTGGAGGGTGTGGCCAGGCCCGAGGCCGTCAGTCACGTCCTGGCTCTGGTTTATTTGTTTTTGGCGGCGGCGGGGGCGGGTTCTGGGGCGAGGGGCGGGGCTACGAGAGGGCGGGGACACACACCGGAGCCCTAACCGCCCGTCAATCACGTCCTCGCTCTTGTTTATCCGTTGCGGGCGGCGGGGGCGGGGCCTGGAGGGTCCGGCGCGCTGTGGGCGGAGCCTAGAGGGTGCGGCGCGCTGTGGGCGGGGCCTGGAGGAGGCGGGAACACGCCCCAGAGCCCTCAACGTCCGTCAATCACGTCCTCGCTCTTGTTTATCCAATGCGGACGGCCGGGGCGGGGCCTCGAGCGCGCGGAGATCCGGGGGCGTGGCCTGGAGTGTGCGGAGTGCTGTGGGCGGGGCCTAGGCCGTTGGTGGCCACGCCCCGGAGCCCTAACCGCCTGTCCATCACCTCCTGGATCCCGTTTAACTTAATGAAGGGCGGGGGCGGGGCCTGGAGAGTGCGGGCGCTGTGGGCGGGGCCTGGAGGGTGCGGCAACCTGTGGGCGGGGCCTGGAGGGTGCGGCAACCTGTGGGCGGGGCCTGCCCCTTTGGTGGCCACGCCCCGGAGCCCTAACCGCCTGTCACTCACCTCCTCGCTCCCGTTTAACTTAGTGAAGGGCGGGGGCGGGGCCTGTCGGGTGGGGGCGGGGCCTGGACCGCGCGGAGACCCGGGGTCGCAGAGCCCTAAACGTCCGTCAATCTCGTCCTCAGTCTTGTTTATCCGTTGCGGGCGGCGGGGGCGGGGTCTGCAGAGTGAGGGGCGGGGCCTGGAGCTAGCAAAGTACCCGGGGCGGGACCTGGAGGAGGCGTGGCCACGCCCCAGAGCCCTAACCGCCTGTCCATCACCTCATCGCTCCCGTTTAACTTAATAGCGGGCGGCTGGGGCGGGGCCTGGAGCGCTGGGCGGAGCCAGGAGGGGGCGTGGCCACGCCCCGCCGCCCATCAATCACCTCCCTCTCCCTTTATTGTCAATGGTTCCGGGCCGTGTGGGCGGGGCCTGGGGAGGGGCGGGGCCTGGGGCGCTGGGCGGGGCCTTTGGGGCTGAGGGCGGGGCCGGGGCGCGGCTCCCGTGATGCCCCGCGGCGGTGACTGACCCGGGCGAGGCCGGGATCCCGGGTGACTCAGCAGCGCCGGGTGCTGGGCGGGTGCTGGGGGCCGGGTGCTGGGTGCTCAGTCCCTCCCGGGGTGCTGGGGCTCGGTGCTTCGCGTGGGTGCTGGGGCTCGGTGCTCCCGAGGTACTGGGTGCTCAGTCCCGCCGTGCTGAGTCTCCAGCCTGAGGACTGAGCACCTGGGACTGAGCACTGAGCACCCAGCACCCGGGACTGAGCACCCGGGACTGAGCACCTGGGACCGAGCACTGGCCCCGAGCACCCGGGACTGAGCACCGAGCACTGGCCCCGAGCACCCGGGACTGAGCACTGAGCACTGAGCCCCGAGCACCCGGGACTGAGCACTGAGCACTGAGCCCCGAGCACCCGGGACTGAGCACCGAGCACTGAGCCCCGAGCACCCGGGACTGAGCACCAAGCACTGAGCCCCGAGCACCCGGGACTGAGCACCAAGCACCCGGGACTGAGCACTGAGCACCCGGGACTGAGCACCGAGCACTGAGCACCCGGGACTGAGCACCGAGCACTGAGCCCCGAGCACCCGGTACTGAGCACCGAGCACTGAGCCCCGAGCACCCGGGACTGAGCACCGAGCACTGAGCACCGAGCACCCGGGATTGAGCACCGAGCACTGAGCCCCGAGCACCCGGGACTGAGCACCGAGCACCGAGCACCGAGCACCCGGGACTGAGCACCGAGCACTGAGCCCCGAGCACCCGGGACTGAGCACCAAGCACTGAGCCCCGAGCACCCGGGACTGAGCACCGAGCACCGAGCACCGAGCA